TCGTGGCCGGCGCCCGGATTTACAGGCTTACGCCTAACAATCCCCCTTGGTTGCGCCGTACTGAAATCCTAGACGTAGACGTGACTATTTCAGAAAAATTCGCTGATAAGGAAGTCAGGTAGGACCCAGGAAAAAAAAACAAGAAATGGGGCTCTTTTGAAATCCTTTTGCTCAGGGTAGGGCGCCAGGATTCCAAAAACACGTAAGACTACAGGATTTCACTAAAATTGTAGGATTTCACAAGGTAGAGATGCTGGGGTTGTGCTAAGACTTTAGATATTCTAGAGATACTGGAGAGGACGCTTTTTGCTGTGGCTGTGCTTGTGCATTTGCTTTTTGCAGCATTTATCTGCTCGGCTGATAGATACACATGCTGTATATACAACATAAGATTGCAATCAATTTAATCAAATGATGGCTTGCGTATGGGGCCATGTAACCATTTGTTTTTACATGTAAACAATGGTACAGTCGCATTTTTTGGAGTTGTAGCTGACAGAGAATTCGGGCCATACACGATACACTGTAAATTACAGGGGCATCAGTGAACCGGTGGTCCGCCCGTTTTGATGACGAGGGTCGGCGGCAGGGGGGCCGACCGTCTATAACCTTCGGTTACCACCGAAGGCCCTCCGGGCAGGGCGCGGGCGCGTGGCCGGCGCCCGGATTGTAAGGGCTTCGCCCTGGTGCCGCTGACCCCTTTTTTATGGAAGGATTTGGCGGGGCGACCACAGCGATGCCAGGTCGGGACCAGGTGATGGCCTACTGCGCTGAGTAGGAGCCCAGGTCATGGCGTTGCCTGGCACGTTGCCGGGTACGTCGCCCGGGACCCTAAAGAAAAGAGGCGCAGGCCGAGCCGCAGCCAGCCAAAATGCCTAACGTCGCCTGGCCTGGCCCAGTTGCCTGGCAGCAAGCCTAGCAAACGACACCATCTATGCGGGCTGGTGTCGCAGCGGGGTCGTTTCAAGCGACACCATCTATTTCTGCCCACAAAAGCGGTCAGAACAGGGGGGGTGCAGCCAAGTGTGTCGACGGCTCCGTTTGTAGGTGTGGCCGTCGGTGGCATTTTGCCTTATACGCACACCTCTGACTCAGCTGCCAGGCAACTGGGCCAGGCCAGGCGCCGTTAGGCATTTTGGCTGGCTGCACCCCCCCCTTTCCGACCGCTTTTGCGGGCAGAAATAGATGGTGTCGTGGGCTAGGCTTGAAACGACCCCGCTGCGACACCAGCCCGCATAGATGGTGTCGTTTGCTGGGCTTGCTGCCAGGCAACTGGGCCAGGCCAGGCGACAGGGTAGACATAGATGGTGTCGTTTGCCACCCGGAAAAGACCCCAGTCCAAAACCCGCTGGTTTGCTGCACGCCTGCACGCCCTGCAGGGAGTGGCCATGCTGCCTTGTCTGGGAGGTCAGTTGCATTTTGCCTTCTGCGCACATCTCTGACTCAGCTGCCAGGCAACTGGGCCAGGCCAGGCGACGTTAGGCATTTTGGCTGGCTGCGGCTAGGCCTGCGGCTAGGCTAGGCGACGGCCTGGCCTGGGTCCCGAAGGCAACGTGCCAGGCAACGTTATGAGGCAGCGGCGCCACGGCGAAACGCTCTGGATCTGCTTGGCCTGGGCAACTGTTTCACCCTGCGGTGTCCCCGGCGCCGCCCCGCCTAGGCGTCAGCTAGGCAGGGGTCGGCGGATATTTGTTTTCCTTTTCTTAATACGTTTTCTTTTTTTTCTGTGAAGCGATTCAGCTCGAGGTGGGACAGCAGTACCAAGCAACGGTGAGGCCTTCGGATACCTTCGGCGCCACCGTGTCGTGCTGTGAGCCACGCTGCAGTTGGCCGTGACCGCTTGACGTGGCGTTTCACGTGCGTCCCTTTGTTACTAGTAGCTTCTTGTTACTAGTAGTGAGGCCAGGAGCCCCTAGTAGCGTCCTTGCTAATAGTAGCGATGCCCTTTGTTACTAGAAGCTTCTTGATACTTGTTACTATTAGTAATGAGCCCCTAGTAGCGTCCTTGCTAATAGTAGCGATGCCCTTTGTTACTAGTAGCTTCTTGTTACTAGTAGTAAGGCCAGGAGCCCCTAGCAGCGTCCTTGCTAATAGTAGCGATGCCCTTTGTAGCTTAGTAGTACGGCCAGGAGCCCCTAGTAGCGTCCTTGCTAATAGTAGCGATGCTTTGTTACTAGTAGCTTCTTGTTACTAGTAGTAAGGCCAGGAGGCCCTAGTAGCGTCCTTGCTAATAGTAGCGACGCCCTTTGTTACTAGTAGCTTCTTGCTCCTAGTAGTAAGGCCAGGAGCTACTAGTAGCGTCCTTGCTACTAGTAGCGACGCCCTTTGTTACTAGTAGCGATGGCCTCCAACCTAATAGCGTCCTATCCGTGGCGTGGCGCATCGTCGGAGTCATTCGACTCGTTCGAAGACCATCCAGGCTCACCGCCCTCCCAGGAGATTGGGGCGAGCGCGCGTGGAGCTCGGACAACGACCCCCCCCGAGACGGAGAAAAACCGCCGTACACCGTGATGACTTTATTTTATTCAAGTAGCAATGGCCTCCAACCTAAGAGCGATGGCCTCCAGCCTAACCAACCTACTAGTGATTCCAACAGAAAGTGCTCACCTCCAATGTACTAGCGACGGCCTCCAACCTAATACATCGGGATGGCCTCCAACCTAGAAGCGATGGCCTCCAACCTAGAAGCGATAGCCTCCAACCTGAGAGCGATGGCCTCCAACCTAAGAGTGATGGCCTCCAACCTAAGAGCGATGGCCTCCAACCTAAGAGCGATGGTCTCCAACCAAGGGTGAGGGCCTCCAACCTAAGAGCGATGGCCTCCAACCCCTAAGAGCGATGGTCTCCAACCTAAGAGCGATGGCCTCCAACATAAGAGCGATGGCCTCCAACCTAAGAGCGATGGCCTCCAACCTAAGAGCGATGGCCTCCAACCTAAGAGTGATGGCCTCCATCCTAAGAGTGATGGCCTCCAACCTAAGAGTGATGGCCTCCAACCTAAGAGTGATGGCCCCCAACCTAAGAGTAATGGCCCCCAACCTAAGAGCCATGGCCTCCAACCTAAGAGTGATGGCCTCCAACCTAAGAGTGATGGCCTCCAACCTAAGAGTGATGGACTCCAACCTAAGAGTGATGGCCTCCAACCTAAGAGTGATGGCCTCCAACCTAAGAGCGATGGCCTCCAACCCAAGAGTGATGGCCTCCAACCAAAGAGCGATGGCCGTGCTGATCTTTTCTCACAGAACTCTGAAAACTGTACTGACATTGTGATCTGTCATCTGAGGAGTGGGCGGGTCACCTTTGCTCGCTCGGGCCACAGTCACAGATGTGGTGGACAAGCTCAGGTGTGTACCAGTTTGACAGGTCTATGACCTCAAGTTCATTCGGATATTCAGAAAAGTTCAGATAGCAAGTGAGTGATGTGATCGGATGCCAAAAAACACAGCTGCCTGAAGTCAAGGACAAAACAAAAGGCTGAGCAGAGTGCAGCAGAGGAGGCCTCAACAAACATGTCGTCGAGGAAGTGTCCAGGAACACATTGCACAAGTTGTAAAGCTAAAGTGAAGGACTCCATGAATGAAGACGGTGAATTCTCCGTCTTTGACAGCAGACTCTAGGGTCTAGAGACTGTTAGAAATCCAGAGATGACTTGGATGGGCAGAAATCCAACACATCCAAAGACGACTTGTCCAAACTGCCTTTTGATGGTTTCCTCGGGAAGCTTTTCGAAGTTGACAAAGCTCGGTGCTCCAGTCTCCGAGGCTTACAAAGATATCCAAGAGGATCCGGAGTTAGCCGCAGAGGCTGAGAAAAGTGTGTGTATGTTTTTCCCAGAGCGAGAAAAAACAATATATATAATATGGAGAGCTTTCAACAGCTCTCAGCTTGCAAGTTGGAGGCCGCGAAGCCAAAAGGGAAGTCCAAAGGTAAAGGACCAAAGACCTCGGATGTCTCGCGTCAAAGAGAGTTTCAATTCTAAAGAAAGCCATAGAAAGCCTATGCAGTGGTCAGTGGTTCTCTTTCTTCACCAATTAGACTTGATTTCCGCTTTCATGTTGTGCCGAACACTTTGTGCAGGTTTTTTTTGTAGCGTTCACTTACGCAGGAAAGCCGAAGGGAGGCGGAGGCGAAGACGGTGGTGATTTATGGTGGGTCGTGTCGTGTCTCATCCGATCCGGATGGCACTTGTGGTCTGAGTCGCCATCAGATTTTCTGGGAGGCTTCGGATTCGGTGACTTTGGGGGGTATGGCTACTGCGACTACGGCTATGGCGGCTATGGCGGTTATGGTGGCTATGGCGGCTATGGTGGCTATGGCATGGCAGGGGCCGCTGCATTCTTGTGTGGATTATTGGATTTAGCACAGAAAGAAGTAGGACAACACAGCCTCTCCCCAGCAAAATATGCGTGCCTAATTCTGCAGGGCTGGAATTCATGGGGCTGGGGCAAAGGCAAAGGCCGGGGATTGCACAAGTTTCATGTGTCAAACAGTCCTGAAGTTGATCTGTCCAGTTGTGAAACGCTGCTGGTTTCGCTGAAAAACTCCGCGCACCTCGCTCTTCCCTGGCTTTCGGTCCCACCTGTTGCTTGCATTCAGGAGGCAAGAAAGGGGATGCGGGTGAGGGTGGTAGCCTCAGAAACAGCTGCTGGCCTGCCTGAGTATTCTCAGATCAGGACTTGGACATGTTTCATCAAGCTTGAGTTACAAGTGGCATGTGTGGGGCCACACCCAGTGGCAAATGTCGGGTCAAAACAGCGGAGCCCAGCTTCGGTCAAAACAGCACGTTTGGCTCAATCCGGCTGGCGTGTGACCACTTCAGCGAGCAGCCAACAGCTACATTCTACCACATTCAGACCTTTTGCAGAGGGGTTCCAATATCAATTGCATGGTTTAGCTCTCAAGGCTAGTTACGGCTAGTTCAGTAAGTCGAAGTGGCAGGTTGGGCCTTTTGGTGGAGCATTGAGCACCAGTATCTGCCCCAAGTCATCCTTTCATCCCACATGATTCGAGAGTTGTGGGAAGACGAGATCAGAGGCGAGGGCTGCTTGGAGGCAAATGGCACCAGGGCATCTGAGAATGGGTCATTAGCCACCCAGACGGGCCCGAGGTTTTGGCGAGTCCAAATTCAAGCTCTACGAGTCCAATGAAGGCTTGCGAGAAGACGATGCCAATCCGTATCTCGGCAAGTTGAACATCGACGTCCATACATCAACCTGCATCAGTGATCCATAGTCAATATCATTCAATATCAGGCATTTGGCTATTTCCATTGCTCTTAGGCTGGCTTACAAGAGTTGTTGTCGATTGGCATGTTTGAGGTATTTTGTTGTATGGCTTCATGGTATGCACTGCGGCATGATTGGGCCAAAAGATCTGAAAACGATGCAGTGGAGGCCAGAAGAAAAAGAATAAACAAAGCGACAAGAGGAACCTCAAACTGCTATATAAAGTATTATAAACTGTTTTTTCTGTGATATTTGTGTTGGAATCAAGTGCACTGTGGAAGGCTTCAACGCCGGGTGATTTTCATGGTGCCTTTGAGTCCACGACCCTGCGATGGCCTTTCTTTCAACTGGGGCTGTGCCTTCACCAAGCAGCAGAACAAAAAGGCTGGGCGAAGCGGCGAAGCGAAGAAGCAAGCGTCAGATGTTCTCGTGCTGTGTGTGTTCGATGTGATCGCTCCCACTTCGCACTTCTGGTGATCAGTTTGCATGAAAGCTGTTCTGACATTTTTCCAGCTGTCCAGCTGTCCTGGAAAGACCACACAACACACCTGTTCAGACAAGGTTCCCTGAATTAATGGAGGAAGCTGGTCACCCTTTGGCCAGCGGTCGAAAGTAGCCGAAGGATGATTCGATTCGTATCGGCCCACAGAAGGACATCCCAGGAGCCCCACACACCCGAGATACTGGAGAACGTGTCAGGAAATCAGCCACAGATGTTGAAGGACAATCTCGGAGACAAAAGGCATACCAACATGGAGAGGAGAAATGGATGCCGAACTGTTTCTGAACAAGATAGAAACCAACCAAAGAGGCGGACATACAGTTGCGGAAATCAGACACAGAAGTTGTGGAAGAACGACGATCTTGGAGCAAAGGCAGTTGGGTGAAAAGGATCTATATAGGTAGTCAGGTGGAACAATAACTCAACTGTTCTGAGACATACTCAGAAGAAGGGTCTTGGAGCAAGGACAGTTGGCTTAAAAGGCTTTAGGTATAGGAACATGCAGCAAAGATCCTGAGTGCTCACCTGTTTCAGAGACAAAATATGCACTCAAGATACAGGTGAGGAAATCAACCATAGAAAGAGGCACGGGCGGGGCAGTGTGCTGTCCTAGAAGATGACCTTGAAGAAAAGCCTTTGAATTTC